CATCTACTGAAAGATTTTTCAAATAAGGGTTGAGAGATTCTCTGATTTATGGGTATAGCAAAGCACTATTAAGAAACATTTTAAAATTGTGGCCATTTAGCAGAATAATTGTATTAAGTTTGTTTTCATGGTCTATGACTAATCAATGCATAACACCTTGGCCCCTTTGTGGGTTCTATCTCATGGAGTTGGCCTCTGACCTAATCAAAAAATGTTTGGTTAATCCCCCAAATATTGGCTTCATTGTTGTACCACTGAGCCTTTCTCATCAGGCCAGTCACTGTTTTAACTTGTTGGGTCCACAAATGGGTGAGATTGAGGCTAAATTTTCTCCTTCCATCAGAATGAATAATACTTTTCAGCACCATAAGCACTAATCAGTAGATAAAAAGCCTCCAGCTACTGCCAGATTGATGCCTACATGTCCAGTCACTGAAATCTAACAGAATGTCAACTTCTACTTTATATGTTCTTGCCACTCAACAATAAGAGTTTCCATCATAGAAATGCAAAGTCATCAGCTTTAATTTAATTGGCAACAACTTGCACTGCCTTATTTCATCTCATCTGAGATGTGAATCAACCTCTTAACTACTTTACCCACTGGTTATTCTTAGTAGTTTTGAATATATTGTTGACACAGTAATATTAGTCAATTTATCATAGATTGTTGACCTATGTGTCATTATTCATATTGCAACTAATCTCTAACTGTATCTAAAAATATAAATTAATTATTATCTATATGTATGCATAGGACAATATATAACTATAGATACATTGGGTATTCCCTATGGGTTCAATCATCCAGTGGGGAACTTGAAACCTACCATTCACTTTTAAAGAGTATGGCATTGTGTTGAAGTTTGTTCAACTAATTTCATTTGGCCAAAGATGTTCGTTTATCTTGTATATTGTCCTATGCTAAGAACATGAGCATGAAACTTTTACATTATCATATATACTCAAGAAATCTGCCTCTAGAATTTTATCATTTTATAGTAGTCCTGGATTTTTGATATGTATTTTAATGTATTATTGTATTAAATTATAGTTAAACTTCAAAATTAATGTTAATCAAGATAATTACATTCTTAAATGAGATCTAACTGCTAAGCATTCAAAGGGAATAAAAATATGAAGTCCTATATATGTAGTCTGATTTTCTAGCAAATTTGCAGAGCAAACTTAGAGATGAGAGTTATTGGTACTCATCACTCTACAACTAATCTGATTGTATATTTTATCCTTTGCTATACCTTTGTGTTCATTGATATTACTGTCACATTTCATCATTATATTGAAAAGAAGTGAAATATGTAATATTATATATTACCTCTATACCATAAGACAAGTAGACTGCTTTTAACTTTTGCATTTTTCTGTTGAATTTAGGAAAATAAACACTTGTGATATAGAAATTTTAAGGGAAAAGGACTAAATTTTATAACTATGTCACTAAAATAAACAGCATTTTAGAAAGATCTCCTTAGAGTTACATAAACTAAAATTGCAATGTATAAGTTAATTTGACCAGATGTTAAACAGAACATGTTATATGCCCATTAAATTAAAAGTTGATATCAAAGTATATTTGACAATATGTATGCTTGCATCATTGTGTACTCTGAAATATACTTTCTTCTTTCATATGTTTAAGCTAGTGCATAATTACCCCTTCTCCTAGGTCTGTCATTTTCCACTCATAATATCTGAGGAAATACCAGAAGGAAATGAAAGAGAGACTCAACCTACCTCCTAGTTTTGAATTTGAAGTAGAACACAAATTCTGTATTCAATCAAAGGTGCCATCTCAATCTTGGCTAGATCAGTAGAAAAATGAGTACACATCAATCATGATACACATGAGCTAAGCTTTGCTTCAATTCCCCTTTGTAATTATTCCTTAGGATAATTGTCTTTAATGTTTCTCAGTATATAAAATGAGAATTTGAAAATAATATAATAGTTGTTTATAAATTTATATGAGCCTTAGACTTGATTTACTTTGTAATCAAATAAGGCTAACTTATTAAGAAAATATGTCACTTATACACACACACAAATAAGTTCAATTTAACATTTACAAATAGTTACTCATTAGTTGCCATACCTTCACTATATTTTTAAAATTAAATTTTAGTTTCAGCATTGCTATGGGAATTTTCATCCTGAGGAGGACTAGACACCATCTGCCTGCATCAGCATTCATTTCCAATTGCAAATAAAAGTATGATTCCACAAAAGTTCATCCTTGAAAACCAATTAATTGCTCAGGGTTACTTGTAGAGTGTAGGTGAGGGCATGTGAATAGCCTCACTGGAACGTTTGCACTTAGCATGGATGATGGCTTCTCTGTGGTTGAGTAAATGGAGCCCTCTCTCATATCCTTCCAACTCTATATACTTACAGCATTTCCCCAAGGCCACATTCAAAAATTACTTTCATATATCTGTTTGGAATGAGTAGCTAGATCCTGTAGTTAGAGTACCAAACCCACCCAGCACCCTGTCTTATGAGGAAATAGAAATAATTAACAAGCCTAGCAGTGACAATCTTTTGCAAGGGGCACACCTGCATAAAGATGGTGGCAGTTTGTCTCAGATAAGAATTCTATAAAACAATTATATTATCAGTAAAGAACATTATAAAATAGAATATTGTTTCATAGTCCTTATTTTTTCAGATTGTTAAAAAGCACTGTGGGAAAAGAAGTATGTTGCATACATGAAAATGTTTTTACTCTTAGTAAAATGCTGATGTGAAGAACCATTTATATGTTAGTCTAATATGTAGGAACCTGAATTACTCCAAATGAGGAATATACCTGATTTGAAATAATGTATACAACACTCAATTTGAAATTTTTCTTCTTGTTACAAGTAGAATATTCGTACCAGATATAGACAACCTGGAGCAAGAAATACTAATTAAATTTTCCTAGATATATTCTAAGAGTAGCTTTAAAACTCAATAACATTTCTAGAAATACACTAAGCAAGAAATGCTACATAACATTAATGGAATCTTTAGTCTCCCTGGTACTAGGAAGATGCAAATCACCTTTCTATATAAAGCATATCCAAAAGAGAAAAATCTTCTAGCAAGAAGAAATGGCAATAAATTTTCAAAATGTATTCCAAAAGACTATATTTGCAGCCAAGTATCATACCTTGGGTCCCATTAAAAAACCTGGACCTATAGGCTTGGATAAGCATGAATTTTCATGAATTACTTTTACTAAAGTTTGCTACTGGCTTTAAATCAAGGTAACAGGATGCTCCAAGTCATTAAACCCAAACATCCTGGACACACATTACATTCTTAGGAAATGACATTGCTAAATCCAAAAATCACAGTAGAAGTAGATTTGTGGTAACCTTCATTACAACTGTAAGAAAGCCAAACTATCAGTTGCAAATCAAGCAGCCTGATTGATATATTGAGTTAATTAAAAATAATTTCAGTTAAAATGATTTAGTAAAATTAATGAGTAAATTTTTACATTTATTGTAAAACATTTAATGTTAGTAGAGCATATGTCATATTAAAGAAAATGAGACCTGAAAGCTAAATATTTAAGAAGGATGTAACTGGGGGGTAAGGTGGAGAAAGAACTAGGGTATATGATAACTAAAACTAAAGAGGTATGAAAAGCTTTATAAGCTAATTACAAAATATACATATATTTTAAAAAATAATTTGATATAGGTATAGTGCACAATTATATGATGCTGTCACTGGAAAATATGAGTTATTAAATAAAAATAAGAGTGCCTGGCATAGGATACATTCTCTATTAGTTATTGGTCAGGGGTATTCCAGAGGCACTCAAAGGAAAACAACCTAGTCGCATTTATCTTAGTTTCTAAGCACACCACCTACTTTGGATGTGGGGCATAGAGATAAATCTTCAACTGACTGGAAATCTTCCTTACTTTGGGCTAGCTTTTATGGTATAATGTAGGCTGCTAGGGGACAAAAGGCTTTAGTGGTTTTATCCAGAAGTAGATGCTAAAAAAGTTATTTGTCAGGCAAGATGTGCTTCCTGATAGGATAGAAACGTGACTGTAATGAGGGGATAGTCGTAGCATGCTATCTTCATGATAAAGCATTTGTGCTTGGTACTATAAAACCAGTCAAATGTCTATGGATATGGAAGTCATAAGTATTTGTCTTAGTTTGAATTTTATTGCTGTGAAGAAACACCATGACCAATGCAATTCTTATAAATGAAAACACTTAATTGGGTTGGCTTACAGGTTCAGAGGTTCAGTTCATTAACATCATGGCAGCATCCACATAGACTTGGTGGTGTAAGAGTCAAGAGTTCTATATCTTAATCTGAAGGCGGTCAGGAGGAGACTGTAATTCCACACGTAGCAGAGCTTGAACATAAGAGACTTCAAAGTCTACCCACACAGTGACACACTTTCTCTGACAAGGCCACATCTATTCAATCAAGTACACACCCCTTAATAATGACAGTCCCAGCGGGCCAAGTATTCAATATATGAATCTATAGTTGCCAAATCTATTCAAAACACAACTTTGATGAGGAACCTACTATTAATACTTCACAAACATTTCAGTTATCACACTGTCTTTTAAATATTTATATACCTATATTTGTACTTCTCAAAACATTGGTTAGAGAGGTTTAATTTTCCAGTGATCTATGAAAACTGAAGAAAGTTCTAACTGTTCAGTGAGGTAAGAATAAAGCAATGTGAGTGCTGAACCCTAAATGAAACATTTATATCTTCCTACATACAAATTTCAGGGAGAATCCATGCTAAGGAGGCAGAAAAATGTAACAACTAGATGATAGTTGTTGTACTCATGAACCCATATCAACTATGCTTATCTGCATGTGCTGTTTGTTTTTTGTCTACTGGACAAAAAACCTAGACATATATGCAAAGAAAAAGTTGTAATTCAGGAATTATCTTCATAATATTGGCCTTTTGGCAATTCTGTATTGTCTTGATTAATGATTGATGAAGGAGAGCCCAACTCAGAGTGAGGGGTCCTACAACTTTGCAGATAGTCGTAAGTTCTATAAGAAAGCAGTCTGAGAAAGCTGAGATGAACAAGCGAGTAAGCAGAATTCTTCCATGGTTTCTGGATTCGTTCCTGTCTCTAGGTTTCTTCCATGGTGGTGTTCTTTTCCTGACTACTTCAGTGATGGCCTTTTTCTTAGAAATAGAATATGAATTGAACTCTTTCCTCTCTAAGTTTCTTTGTGTTATGGTGTTCTATCAAAGCAGTAGAATACTAAAGCAATATCCTAATTCAGTCCATAAACAGTTCTAAAATGAATTGAAGAGAGATGTCACAGGGCCTTATTCCAAGAGGAAGAGCTATACATGGTTGCTGGCTGTTAGGTTAGAGAAAGATTTGTGTGTGTGTGTGTGTGTGTCTGTATGATCATTAATATGCTCATACACCAATGCACTTATTTGCAGCAGTAATTTGACTCAATGACAGTGGAAGCAACAAAAGGAACAGTATTAAAGTTGGCAGGGAAATCCATTGGGAGTAGTTTATGAAGAACTGGCTTGGGCAATAGGATATAGATATGCTCAAAATATATGTTGATGCACTAAATTCTAGAAGAACAAAATGCTATAAAACATTTTAATGATATTCTGACTATGGAGAAATAGTTTTAAGTTTTTAAAATTTATTCTTCTCACATACAATACATTTAGAATGTGGCCTCCCCTCCCTCCACTCCTCTCAGTTACTCCCCCAGACACTCCCCCTCAGTTTCCCTTCTAAAAAGAGAAAGCCTCCACCAGGGATATAAATGGCTCATGGAATAATAAGATGCAACAAGACTAGGCACAAACACTCGTATCAAGACTGAATAAGGCAACTCAATGGGATGGAATTTGTCCCAATAGCAGGAGAAAGCGTCAGAGATAGCCCTACTCACACTGAATCAAGCTCCACAAAAACATTAAGCTAAAGAACTACGACATATATGCAAGGACCTATGGACGTCCCATGATTGCTTTTTCACTCTTTGTGAGCACCTATGTGACCTGCATCGTTGATTTAGTAGGCCTTGTTCTCCTGGTATCCAGAGACCTCATTAATATATATGATGATCCAGAGAAGAGATGTATTAAAGAACATAGGTGATAGCCAGATGTACTGACTATAACATCTAATAGTACCTTGTTACAGCATCATTTTCCTGAAGAAAAGTGTTCAAGGTATGTTTCAGTGAATAAAGATATATAAGGCTTCTATACAACAAAACTGTTGACTACTACAATATTGGTGTATTGACTGTCACATAGCTTACTTTTTTTAGAGTATACATAAGTAAAATTTATCTGTATCATAAGATATAATAAATGTCTAGATTCCTAAGTGGTCTATTCATTTTTTAATAATACAGAAGATAAGACAAGATATAGTGGTAAATCTTTATATTACTATACTTAAAAAGTGTTAAGAAAATCAAGAATTCAATGTCATCTTTAGCCAGATAGCAAGTTTGATGCCAGCCTAGACTATATGAGGCCATTTATCAAAACAATAAGTAAATGAAAATACCAAGAAATTAGTTTGTGTAACCTAATCTGCCTTCAGAAAATCACAGGAAATTCCAGCTTGATTTAAATGAGATTGAAAATGATAATGGTACAGTCCACTGTGAAATGCCAGAGCTTGTCCAGCACAAACTTGATAACATTTTTGAACCCGTCCTTATTCCTGAACCTAAGATCCGGGCTGTATCTCCACATTTTGATGACATGCACAGTAGTACAGCATCCACAATCAATTTAATTATCTCCCAAGTAGCCAGTGGTGACATCAACACAAATATCCAAGCTCTGACACAGATTGATGAGGTCCTGAGGCAGGAAGACAAAGCTGAAGCTATGTCTAGCCACATTGATCAGTTTCTGATAGCAACATTCATGCAGCTAAGACTCATCTACAGCACACACATGGCAGTTGAGAAGTTGGACAAGGATTAAATCATCAAGTTGTATAGCTGTATCATTGGCAACATGATTTTGCTATTTCAGATAGAGAGCCTGGCCAGGGAGGCCTCCACTGGAGTACTGAAAGACCTGATACATGGACTGATCACAATAATGCTGGATTCTCGGATTGAAGATCTGGAGGAAGGACAACAGCTGATTTGTTCTGTGAACCTCTTGGTAGTGAAGGTTTTGGAGAAATCAGACCAGACCAATATCTTCAGTGCCCTGCTTGTTTTACTTCAGGACAGCCTGCTAGCAACAGCTAGTTCTCCCAAATTCTCAGAGCTTGTAATGAAGTGTCTATGGACAATGGTTCGACTATTGCCTGACACCATCAACAGCATTAACCTAGACAGAATCCTTCTCGACATCCACATTTTCATGAAGGTCTTTCCCAAAGAAAAATTGAAGCAATGTAAAAGCGAATTTCCTAAAAGGACTCTAAAGACCGTTCTGCATACTTTATGCAAATTAAAAGGACCTAAGATCCTAGACCACCTTACAATGATTGATAATAAGAATGAGTCAGAACTGAAGGCTCACCTGTGTTGGATGATGAAGCATAGCGTGTACCAGACTAGGAGCAAGTCTGATAAGGAAACAGAAAAGGGGCAAGTCTGATAAGGAAACAAAAGGGAGCTTCTCGAATAGATGAAAAATCAAAGATCAAAGGAAATAATTTCTTAGCTGAGATTTTTAAGAAGATTGGCTCTAAAGAGAACACTAAGGAGGGCCTAGCAGAGTTATATGAATATAAGAACAAATATTCAGATACTGACATTGAACCGTTTCTGAAAAATTCCTCACAGTTCTTCCAGAGTTATGTTGAGAGAGGCCTTCGGGTGATTGAGATGGAAAGAGAAAGCAAAGGCCGCATCCCCACTTCAACAGGCATTTCCCCTCAGATGGAGGTCACATGTGTGCCCAACCCCACAAGCACAGTGTCCTCTCTAGGTAACACAAATGGAGAAGAATTGGGACCATCTGTCTACCTGGAAAGACTAAAACTTCTCCAGCAGTGGTGTGGTCTTGACAACACAAAGCAAGATGACCGTCCTCCACTGACCTCTTTGCTCTCCAAACCAACAATTCCTCTTCCAGTTGCCTCCTCCACAGACGTGCTCAATAGAAAGCTCTCACAGCTATGGGAGTCCGGGGAACAGTACCAGCACTCAGACCTAGATTCCAACGAGACCCACTCTGCAGGAGCCATGACCTCCTCCTCCACAACTAACATTGATGACTTGAAAAAGAGACTGGAGAGAGTAAAGAGCAGTCGCAAATGAAGCTGCCCATCCCTCAGCACTCTGCAGCGTTAGTTTACTAATCTAGAAGTCCTATAGTGTGGAGCAGCCACTGCAGGCCTCTTTGTACACAAACTGGTTGTATGTATCAGACTATAGATGGGGAAGAGCAGTGGTGGCTCAAGTCTGCACACGCTCTGCTTCTAGAAGCCTAACTGTGGGTTAGGTTAGTGTACAGACTTCTAAACAGCTGCTCCCTCAGCTCACAGTAGGTTGCATATCTTTTTTTGTTTTGTTTTAATGGCTCATTTGTAAAATTGTCCTAATTTTTCCTAGCGTTCAGCCATTAGAAACTCTTTTAATAGTTCCTTTTGAGTTGTGAGCTCTTCTTCTGTAGCCCTGAAAGGACACTATATTCTGTATGAATGCATGGCATGAGACAACTAATTTAAGAGTCTTTTATAAATAAAGTTTGCATTAACTATAAAAAAAAAGAAGATCACAGGAAAAAATCCTAATTTCCTATATATTTAATGACCATACAACACTGGATAATAGTTTAAAAATACAAATGTGGATTTGGAGAGATGGCTCAGTGGTTAAGAGCTTTTGCTGCCCTTACAGAGGGCATGGATTTAGTTCCCAGAACCTACATGGTTTCCAATAGCCACCTACAAACCCATGTCTAGGAAATCTGACAGCCTCTCTGCCTCTATTAACCTCCATGGGCACTAGAAATGTGCTTGGTGCACATGCATAAAAACAGGAAAAACACTCAGATACATTAAATTAAATTTAAAAACTAAAATTAGAAATACAAAAATGGTATTTGAACTATGTAGGCATATTGCAAATTTAAATGTGTGGATTTGGATAGCTCTTGCAAGCAACCTGATTTTCTACATTAGTTTTTATTATACAAGCCTAACTAAAACTGAGTGCTATTAAAATACATTATACTGGAGTATAGTGTGGGACTCACAAAAATGGTGACAAGGTGATTTAGGAACTAAAAATATCTGTTATTTCTCAACTCTATCAAATACAATATATCTTTAGTGTAGATGAGTCATTTCTTCTTAAATTTTAAACAACATTTTATAATGTGGATATATGTATGTTTCTTAAAAATATGAAATAAAATGGATATTTCTGGTGGAATGTGGGCAGGTAGGGATGGGAACAGGAGGAATCAGATGTTGGGAGGAGAGAGAGAGAGAGAGAGAGAGAG